TTGCCTCCCACACGGGAGAGGCTTCCCTGGCTCTCCCTGAAGTGGCTATGTCCCCTGCAGAGCCCTATAATGCTCCCCAAGCACACCTTGGGCCTGTGACTTCTCCACCAGGTCTTTCGTAACTTACCCCTGGGAGGCCCCACTTGTTCCATCCATTCCCTAAAGAGCTCCCGTCAGCCGGGCCACCTTGTACACCGAAGCTGCCATGGGGGGAAGCCCTTGGCATCCCCCAAACAGGAAGTTGCCCTTGCTTTTTCTGGGCGTGGCTTTCATGTCTTTATTTGCCCTGCACTTCCCCTGTGGACATCAGCCTAAAGAAAATATCCCAAGAAAGACAAACACTGTGTGATATCACTTATGTGTGGAATCAAAAAAATACAGCAAATGGTGAATATAACAAAGCAGCAGCAGACCCGCAGATAGAGAGAACGAACGAGTGGTTACCAGCTCGGGAGCGGGCCAGCAATGTAGGGTGGGGGACTGGGAGGTACAAACTCTCAGATGTAAGACAGGCTCCAGGATGTATTGTACAACATGGGGAATATAGCCAGTATTTTGCAATACCTGTATCGTTCCAATTTTAGTATATGTGCCACTAAAGCGAGCACTGCAATAACTGTAAATGGAAGGTAACCTTTACAAACTGAATAAAAACTTTAAAAAAGAAGATATTCAGAGAATGTCTTACCAATTCAGTCTGCCTTGAAGACGCAGGCAATGAGAAAGAGGGACAAGCTGATGGGATTCTCTGAGCCCACCTTTGAAACCCTTCTCCCTTCTAAGCAGAAAAGCAAGTCCCTCCCTTTATTTTTTTTTAAGTCCCTCCCTTTAAATAAATCTTTTTCTTCTTTTATGTACATTAAAAAGTGTTTATTTACATTAAAAAAGACACAGTTTAATGCCACGCTGTCTTCCCTCTCAGGAAATTTATTCTCATATTTGACTTCAATGCTTTTTTGATATAATTTCCATCCTCATGGAGAAGAAAAGCTGAATGGCATTACCTGTCTTAAAAGTCTGTATTTTTTGTGGCCACCACTAAATCTCTTGGACACAACACCTCCTCCAAACGCAATATACTCAGTTCGTTTTTCTTTTCTGTGTATATTGCATTTTCCAGTTTTTTGTGTCGTTAGGACTGAACTCTTGTAAATTATTAGTATTAGACACTGAAGAGTGCCAAAGAGGAGCCAGTAAATACGGTGCTTCTGGAAGGGCCGAGAATTTCTTCCAGAGGGAAAGAGAAAATAAGTATGTGGAATATATTAACACACAGAAACAACACATAGCTCACTTTAGCTGTATACAAATCATGGTAAAGGAGTATGAGAGACGACTGTGCCCAAAGTTGGTTAGTTATTGTGAGAAGAAGGAACAGTGTTTGAAGGCAGTGAGGACCCACCTAGAGTGGAGAAAGTAGAAATCCTCTTTGTTGCTCATCAGCTGTGTTCATTGAACATATCCATCTCCAGCCCTTAGCACAACACCTGGCTCATTTTAGGCTCTCAGTAGTGTTTGTTGACTGGATCACCGACTGACTGTAGTTCTCCAGTAAGGGTAAACCAGTGTGATTCCACTTGTAAATTTGTAATTGATTCTTACATCCTATATACTCTCAGTTGTGGGAGTTTAAGGATTTTAGAGAAGAACTCTAAGTAGCAAAACATTAGCGATATGCTACCCTGCTAGGGTTCATTTCAGTCACCTTCCTTCTAACATTTTCTCCAGCTGACCTTCATGTGTTCAAACCAGCAGAAAAGGCAGGAGCTCACCTTGAAATGATTTCCCAGCCTACTTGTTCAGTTCACTCTGTCTGTTTTTCTCAGCACTGCTGACACACTGCTTTCATTTTATTTAAGGGACTTCATTTCAGTTGCCTCTGAAAAAGATAATTCTCCCATTCAACTACACTGAAACATCCTTTGTCCCATATTAGATGACCATATTCTGCTGCCCTAGTGATCCCACAGAAAAACTGCATGCTAGGTTTGCTTCTCTGCACATATGTTTGGGTCTCAACTTGCAAGTGTTTATATATATTTAAAAATATCTAAATGTAATCTTGTATTCTGGATTAGGCCCTTGAGGAGAAAAAGGACATTAGTGAAACAATTGGTTTCACTGAATAAGGTCTGATTTACATAATTGTTCATTTCTTCATTTATCAATGAACCATGGTTCACGGTTGTGTAAGATTAGGGGAAGACAGATAATGGGTGTAAGGGCACAAACATTTCACAAAGGGAGGCTGTATTGGGAAATCAAGTACATGTGAACATCCTGGTTCTTTTCAAAGCAGTTTTTCAAGCATGAGAAAAATTACAGACTACCAAAGTGTACTTCAGATACTTCTAGGCTTTGTAAGATAGACAAAATAAAACAACCCTTGTTCATACCAAGCCTCCTCCTATTCGGTTTCCTCCGAGATCCATTCCCCGCCGCCACCGCCCCGTTCCCAAAGCTTCTGTGCTGATGTCAGAAGTGCCCCTGGCTCTCCCACATCTCTCAGCGCCACACCCCCAAGGGCCACACTTGCTCTCCCCCGCACAAGCACTCGCTGTCCAGCGCAGATAAATCTCAATGCTTTATCCCGTCCCCCAGCAGCCTGCCCCATGCTGGCCAGTGACATCACCATCCTGACATCCCAGCTAGATATCTTAGAATCACCTGCAGTTCCTTCCTCCTTTTTCACCCATTCCACGTGTGGCCAGTCCTCCCAAAGGGCCTCTTGTGTCTGTGCACTCATCCCTTTCCTTTCGCCTTGCGGTTACCCTGGGCCACAGGTGCCTGGTCAGGACTGTCCCTGCCTGCAGTCTTGCCACCCTCCCCACTGCCTTCAGGAAGAGGGCATGACCTAGCACATCAGTGTCACTTTCCTTCTTTTAAAAAGTAACAATTGGTCTATATTGCTGCTGGCCTAAACATGTGATAAGCACCTACCCAGAAGAGCAATGTATTATACAGCTAAATAGAGAGTCAGTTCACACCCGCCTCTCTCCTTCCATCCTTATCTCCAGGAAAGTAGAGGAAGAACAGGCCTTTGGAGTCAGAAAGTCCTGGCCTTGAAGCCCAGCTCTATGACACTGGGCAAAATAGTCTTTGCCTCTGAGCCTCAGTTTCCGCTTATGTCAAATGGAGGTGGTGCCTACCACATGGGGCTGCTGTGAGAACCAAAATGAGATGTTTATCGAGGGCCACACCCAAAGCAGGCTCTTCTCATTGTTAACCCTGTAGGGGCAATGAGGAACAGGCCTGGTGACGATCTCTGTACCATATGTGTGTGAACTGGGGCCTCTCAGTAGGAAAGCTTCATCCCACGTGGAGGGACTGAGCACCTCCCTTGCACTCTTCCCAGCTGGGCGGGGACTGCGTGCCGCCTCCTGTCACATGTGCAGGCCCAAACCATCCAAGTTGAAGGGATTCCAGCCTCAGGAAGTGAATCCTGTTCTTCAGAGACAAGGACTCACTGGTCTGTTATCACTCTGTGGATGAAACAGGGATTTTCAGCAGAATTCTTCAGAATCTATCATTCTTCCCAGGAGAGAGCCAAACTATTAATACAAAATGCCTATCGGGGGCCTCCCTGCCGGAGACTTTTTCTCGTTGGTTCAATGCCCTTTCTTTCTTCTGTGGCCTAGTACAGTAGCTGGCACATATCTGTGCTTAATCAGAATCGAATGGATAGAAAGATGAGTGGAAGGATGAAGGATTTAATCTCTAGGATTTGTCCAGTAATGCGCACTTAATTGAAAGACTGAATAATGAATTCCCCAATGAGCTAGGTATTGGACCAGTGGTTTCTAAACCTTGGCTGCTCTAATCACCGGGAGAGTTTTTGTTTTAAGACTGATTTCTGGGTTCTACTGATTCTTATGCCCTATTATTGTCTAAAAGCTCCCAAGTAATTCTAATAGACAGCCAAGGTGGGCACCTACCATGCTGGACCAGTCTAAAAGTATGTACCCCATGCATAGCTCTTACACCCAGTCACCATGTTGTAATTAACAGTTTATGATCTTTCCCTCACTTGACTTTATGCTCCTTGAGCTCTGATACTGGGACTGTTAACTGTCTTCCAGTGCCTGGCACAGTGCTTGGCATATAGTAGATCATCATAAACGTTCGTTAAGTTGATGGTTTCTTTCATTTGGGTGGGTCTGTGCAATTTTCTTGTATCCTAAGGCAAAGACAGAAAATGCTAGCACTGTGAGTTTTGTTTTATATGAGTGTGTGTGTGTATGTGTATGTCGTGTTTTCTAGCCATCTATGCTTTGGTATCTATATACTTGTCCCTAATTCTTTTTTTTTTTTTTTCATGTTCACTCACTGTCCCTTTTCCAGATGCCATGAACTGACAGCATCCAAAGATATTGAACTTTGTCAGGGAGCCTCAACTTGAAATATTCTGTCCAGTTATTTCCATCCATACCTGGTTTCCAAAGCTCATCCCTATACATGTGAGAGGATAGTTCATTAATGGGAGGTCTGGCACCACCATCCCCACTAATGAAAGCCACAGGAGCCTCTAGAAAAAGACACACAGGTTGCTATTCTAGTTGATTTTCTCAACTCCACAGTCTGTTCATTTAGACATAGAATAATAGAGCTGGAAAGATATTTAATATATGAGTTCAGTCATCTTCATTAAACAATGAAGACTCAAGCTACATGGGTTTTAGGACTTGCGTGAGATGACGCACCTTTCAGGACCACAGCTGGTGCAGGAAACCTGGCGCTCTGGTCCTCAGGTCTGGACCACTGCATTGTACCCCTGGCATCTTGGAGTACATCAGAAATCAAAGATCACACTTTTACTTCTTCCTTGGTATCTGTGTTAGGAAGAAAACTACCTGGAAAAAGGTATTATTATATGTTTCTCAGAGGATGTGGGAAGGAGGAATTATTAGGTGGAAGGGGATTCTTGAATGAGAACTTAGAAACTTCTCAGAAAAAGTGTTTTGTGGCAGTACCACAATTTGTGTTTCTGTCCTTGTTTTCAGAATTTTCCCCAGAGAATACCTCCTTCAACAGATCCACCTGTATTCCCTCGCAGATCTGCAGCAGGTAAGCGCTTCATGGGGCCATTTCATGTCTGTTTCCTCCCTGGGGACATGTTTTTTGTTGACTGTGTTCTTGGTTACTGAATTCTCCCATCATTGGTGTAGTTATATCGACAAGCCCAGATAATTATTTTTTATTCAGAATGAGAAAACTTAATGTAAAAAGATATTACAGGACAATAAGAAATGCAGACTAAGATTTAGAGAAACTGGAGCTATCGTACACTTGCTGGTAGGAAGGGCAAGTGGTGCAGCCACTTAGGAAAATAGTTGGGCAGTCCCTTGAAAAGTTAAGTGTAGTTACCCTGTGATCCAGCCATTCCACTCCTAGGCACATACCCTAGAGAACTGAAAACATATGTCCACATAAAAACTTGTACGGGAGTGTTCAAACATCATTACTCATGATAGCTAAAAAGTGGCAACAACTTGAGTGCTCATTAGCTAATGAATGGATTTTAAAAATGTATATCCACTTAAAGCAATAGTATTTGGACATAAAAAGGAATGAAGGGTACATTCATTGAGAACATCATGCTGAAAGAAGTCAGACAGAAAAGAATACATATTTATGGTCCTTATTTTATGTAGACTTTTCTTAGAATGTCCCAAAGAGGCCAGTCCTTAGAGGCAAAGAAGGTGAATCATTGCCAGTGGCCAGGACAAGCCGTGGGGTGAGGGGTGGATGCTGGTGGTGTGGGGCTTCCTTTGGGGATGATGAAAACGTCTGGAATTAGCTGTGATGGTTGCACAACTTTGTAACTGTAGTAAAAGCTAGTGAATTGTATACTTCAAAAGAGTGAATTTTATGGTAGGTGAATTGAATCAGTAAAAAAAAAATTGTACAAGGAAAAAAGACATCAGGGACAATGAATATATTAAACTCTGACTTATGTTCAAGCCAAACAGTTGGATGGTGTTACTTTAAAAAAAAAAACAGAACAGAGCATGTACGAGTGAAAATCATCTTTTTATACTTTTATTAGTGTACGTATATCCTTTCAATGATTGACTAAGTTAACAGCCAAGAAGAAAACCAACCCAAAGTTCTGAATATCTTAGGCTTTGCTTAATCATTTAAATCAACAGCTCATTCTCTAACAAATTTTGAGACGCTACATGAAAGCGTCGCTTCCTTTTCCATATTTTCTGGATTCTTCAAGAGTCAATTGCATAATAATAATCAGTTCAGTTCAGTCGTTCAGTCAAGTCTGACTCTTTGCAACCCCATGGACTGCAGCACGCCAGGACTCTCTGTCCATTACCAACTCCCGGAGTTTACCCAAACTCATATCCATTGAGTTGGTGCTGCCATCCAACCATCACATCCTCTGTCATCCCCTTCTCCTCCCATCTTCAATCTTTCCCAGCATGAGGGTCTTTTCAAATGAGTCAGCTTTTTGCATCACGTGGCCAAAGTATTGGAGTTTCAGCTTCAACATCAGTCCTTCCAATGAACACTCAGGGCTGATCTCCTTTAGGATGGACTGGTTGAATCTCCTTGCAGTCCAAAGGACTCTCAAGAGTCTTCTCAAACACCACAGTTCAAAAGCATCAATTCTTCAGCGCTCAGCTTTCTTTATAGTCCAACTCTCACATCCATACATGGCTACTGGAAAAACCATAGCCTTGACTAGACGGACCTTTATTGGCAAAGTAATGTCTCTGCTTTTCAATATGCTGTCTAGGTTGGTCATAACTTTCCTTCCAAGGAGTAAGCATCTTTTAATTTCATGGCTGTGGTCACCATCTGCACTGATTTTGGAGCCAGAAAAAAAAAACATAAAGCCAGCCACTGTTTCCCCATCTATTTGCCATAAAGTGATGGGACTGGATGCCATGATCTTAGTTTTCTGAATGTTGAGCTTTAAGCCAACTTTTTCACTCTCCTCTTTCACTTTCATCAAGAGGCCCTTTAATTCTTCTTCACTTTCTGCCATAAGGGTGGTGTCATCTGCATATCTGAGGTTATTGATATTTCTCCCAGCAGTCTTGATTCCAGCTTGTGCTTCATCCAGCCCAGCGTTTCTCCTGATGTACTCTGCATATAAGTTAAATAAGCAGGGTGACAATATACAGCCTTGACGTACTCCTTTTCCTATTTGGAACCAGTCTGTTGTTGCATGTCCAGTTCTAACTGTTGCTTCCTGACCTGCATATAGGTTTCTCAAGAGGCAGGTCAGGTGGTCTGGTATTCCCATCTCCTTCAGAATTTTCCACAGTTTATTGTGATCCACACAGTCAAAGGCTTTGGCCTAGTCAATAAAGCAGAAATAGATGTTTTTCTGGAACTCTCTTGCTTTTTCGGTGATCCAGCAGTTTAGCAATTTGATCTGTGGTTCCTCTGCCTTTTCTAAAACCAGCTTGAACATCTGGAAGTTCACAGTTCATGTATGGCTGAAACCTGGCTTGGAGAATTTTGAACATTACTCGTGTGAGATGAGTGCAATTGTGCGGTAGTTTGAACATTCTTTGGGATTGCCTTTCTTTGGGATTAGAATGAAGACTGTCCTTTTCCAGTCCTTTGGCCACAGCTGAGTTTTCCAAATTTGCTGACATATTGAGTGCAGCACTTTCACAGCATCATCTTTTAGGATTTGAAATAGCTCAACTGGAATTCCATCACCTCCACTAGCTTTGTTTGTAGTGATGCTTCCTAAGGCCCACTTGACTTCACATTACAGCATGTCTGGCTCTAGGTAAGTGATCACACTATCATGATTATCTGAGTTGTGAAGATCTTTTTTGTACAGTTCTTCTGTGTATTCTTGCCACCTCTTCTTAATATCTTCTGCTTCTGTTAGGTCCATACCATTTCTGTCCTTTATTGAGCCCATCTTTGCATGAAATGTTCCCTTGGTATCTCTGATTTTCTTGAAGAGATCTCTAGTCTTTCCCATTCTATTGTTTTCCTCTATTTCTTTGCATTGATCACTGAGGAAGGCTTTCTTATCTCTCCTTGCTATTCTTTGGAACTCTGCTTTCAAATGGATAAATCTTCCCTTTTCTCCTTTGCTTTTCACTTCTCTTCTTTTCACAGCTATTTGTAAGGCCTCCTCAGAGAGCCATTTTGCTTTTTTGCATTTCTTTTTCTTGGGGATGGTCTTGATTTCTGTCTCCTGTGCAGTGTCACGAACCTCTGTCCATAGTTCATGAGGCACTCTATCGGATCTAGTCCCTTAAACCTATTTCTCACTTCCACTGTATAATCATAAGGGATTTGATATAGGTCATACCTGAATGGTCTAGTGCTTTTCCCTACTTTCTTCAATTTAAGTCTGAATTTGGCAATAAGGAGGTCATGATCTGAGCCACAGTCAGCTCCTGGTCTATTATATAATAATAATAATAGTAGTAATTGTGACAACCTTCAGAACATATCAAACTGCTGTGATTCAGTTCTTTTCTTTGTTGTTTTGCCCTGAAGAAAGAAGGTCAACTTAATCTGTGTTCAAATCCTTCACTCATTTTCAAGACTTAAAAAATAAATAAAACCTTGAAAAGTAATTTCACCTCAAGGATTTTATGTTTGTTGTTGTTGTTGTTGTTTTGCTCCCCCAGAGGTAGGAAACTTATTTTAATGGTAGGAATAGTTTTAGAGTGTTTATTAGAGAGGGCTGAGAGGACACTAGGGTTTTGATTTTCACTTGTGCACCCAAGTTAAATCTATTTGCTCCTACCAGCTCCCTCCACCCCTTCAGTCCTGCTACCCTTTACCACATAATCAAACAGTGATCTGCTGGCTGGTGTGGAAAGAGATGCAGTTTTAATTGTGATTGCCCAGTGGTATTCACGGGGAGGAATTGGTTACAAGACCCAGTGTACACCTATGTATTTCTAGGATCAGGATCAGTGATCTAAGGACCCAGACTCTTGGCACTGGAGAAGTGAGTTTAAAGGCACCGGTGGTGTATTCTTGTAAAGATGGTTGGAAATGGAATGAGTGGGCTCCAAAGTGAGTACTTTTTGAGGAAGCCTTTCAAAAACAAGTTTTGATACCAGATGAAGAGGAAGAATCAGTAATTCCATATTCATTTCGGGGTGGCAAAGTAGTATAGCTATTTGGCATAATAAAGCTTTCTCTTTTAAAAAGCTCTCTCATACCCTGCTGTCTTTTTTCTTTTTTTTCCCCCTTGTAATAATCAAACCATACAATGCCAAGCAGCTTACCTAAATCAGTGGCAGTGGTATTCTTGGTGGGCCAGACCATTAGCCTCAGAGCCCCATAAGCAGCTTAATCAGTTTCAGCCTCCATCGTAAAGCAGTAGAGGCAATCAACAGCTTATCAAACTCCCTGTCAGCGGGGGTGGCCAGAGCTCCATGCGTCTGTTTACTCCACAGTTCACTCTAACCTGGTTCTTTGTGCCTGGCTTTAACATCTCCAAACCTATCATATTGAGAGGAAGTTTAATTCAATTACTTTTTCTGCCTGAGGTGGGTTAAATTGGATTTAGCTTTTGATCTATCTACATCTAGGCTATCAGTACTGAAGGAAACCTCTGCCCCATCTTCCCTTGGTTTCAGAGTAAATGTCTGGTCTGTTTTCTGAATCTGAGCTGTTCTTGCAAATAGATAAGAGAAGTAAACACAAGAATGGGGGAAAAAAAAAAAAGAATGGGGAAAAAATATTATTGCTTTGTGACAGTCCGTGTCAGACATAGCAGGATATCCTACCTCACTAACCGAGTTGCCAGCCCCAGGTCGTCCTGTACCATTTCCTCCTCTGTCTGGGTGCTATGCCACCCTCTTTCAAGTCAGCTTCAGGAGTTTCAGAGTAAGTTATTTCCTCCATTCAATTCCCATCCTCACTCCTAAAATAAAGGTCTCTGTAAAAGCATCCTTGGACAGCAAGGAGATCACACCAGTCAATCCTAAAGGGAATCAACCCTGAATATTCATTGGAAGGACTGATGCTGAAGCTGAAGCTCCAATACTTTGGCTACCTGATGCGCAGAGCTGACTTATTGGAAAAGACACGGATGCTGGGAAAGATTGAAGGCAGGA